CATGCCACTTTATATAACTGGTCAAAGGTTTCTGATAACAGATAAGAGATAGCTCAATTGATAAGATAATCAAACAAACTGGTCAAAGGTTACTGATAATTGATAAGAGAGGAGTTAACTGATAAGATAATCAAACAAACTGGTCAAAGGTTACTGATAACTGATAAGAGAGGAGTTAACTGATAAGATAATCAAACAAACTGGTCAAAGGTTACTGATAATTGATAAAAGAGGAGTTAACTGATAAGATAATCAAACAAATACTGTTAAGGTAACCTAGTAACTATGTGATAAGCTATCCGTCTATTTCACTGGTGTTTATTGTTCTAGGTCAAAGGTTGATAACAAACTGATAAAACAGTGAAAAAGATAACTGCACAACAATTTCAACCAATCACATGGCTGCAATATACCAATTTGACCAATTATATTTCACACATACTTCATATGTTGCATAAGCTGTAGAACCATCATGCCACTTTATATCACTGGTCAAAGGTTACTGATAATTGGTGCAAGATCAAGGGTTTCTGATAACTGATAAGGTAATAAGTTCAACATCAGAAAGAAAGGGGGTGTATTTGGTGAAATTACAAGACCAAGAAGAAATCAAGAAACTCAGCAGACATATGAAGCTAGAACTTATGTTACTTCACTGCTGTGGCAGAGTTTGAAAATGGAATTTGTTCAAGTGCAGTTCTGGTTAGCTCAAGAAAATTACAATGAAAAGAAACTTCTTACTGACAATGTATTGCTCGGATTGTCTTATTTCATGGATAATGTATACATAAGTCTGGAAGTGATCAATAAAGAAGGCGAGAAGAACTTGAAAAGATCCATCAACATTCCAGAGAGTGCCTGGCAGTCACTTGTTGTACAAGCAGCAGCCATTGATGAACAGATGCCTCGTCCTTGTAACAAGTGAAAGCAGATAATGATACAGAGACCAAACCCATCTTCTTTTTCTACGTGTTGATGTCATAGGTCACATGGTTACTGATATAACTGGTCAAAGGCTACTGTAATTGATAAGAGAGAGATAATAAACTGATAAGACAGTGAAAAAGATAACTACCATGGTTTCTGATATAACTGGACAAAGGTTACTGATAATTGATAAAAGAACATAGGTTTGAGTTCTATGCCCAATGCACAGAAATGATGCCATAGGTCACATGGTTACTGATATAACTGGTCAAAGGTTACTGATAACTGATAAGAGAGAGCTCAATTGAAAAGATAATCAAACAAACACTGTTAAGGTAACCTGGTGACTATGTGATAAGCTATCTTGTCTAGTTCATGGATGTTTCATTGTTATAGGTCAAAGGTGGATAACAAACTGATAAATCAGTAAAAAAGATAACTGCAGAACCATTTCAACCAAACACGTTTTAACTTGCAGAATTATTTTAACCAATCAGAGTACAGTATGTTTTAACCAATCAGGTTTTGAGATGCAGAATCGTTTTACCTTATAAGGAACAGAATGTTTGGATTCTTTTAACCAATCACAGTACAGTATGTTTTAACCAATCAGGTTTCGAGATGCAGAATCATTTTAACCAATAAGGGGACAGTATTTTTGGATTATTTTAACCAATTGAGGTACAGGCAAGTGCAGGCTTCCACTTCCACTGTCACTGACATGACTGGACAAAGGTTACTGATAATTGTTAAGAGAGGGGTCAACTTATAAGATAATCCCAGCTCAGTGAAAACATTGACATACAATGCTAATTGCTATGCTTCATGCTATACTGTATGTTATGCAACATGCTATGCTAAATGGTATTCTGCTATGCTATTCTACATGCTATGTTACATGCTATGCTACATGTTACATGCTGTACGATGCTACGTGTTATGCTGGTTATGCCACATGCTATACTACATGCTACATGCTATACTATGCTACATGCTATGCTATGCTACATGCTATGCTATGCTACATGCTATACTATGCTACATGCTATGCTATGCTACATGCTATGCTATCCTACATGCTATGCTATGCTACATGCTATGTTATGCAACATACTATGCTATGCTACATGCTATGTTATGCAACATGCTATGCTATGCTACATGCTATGCTATGCTATGCATGTTACATGCTATGCTACATGTTGCATGCTGTACGATGCTACGTGTTATGCTGGTTATGCCACATGCTATACTACATGCTACATGCTATACTATGCTACATGCTATGCTATGCTACATGCTATGCTATGCTACATGCTATACTATGCTACATGCTATGCTATGCTACATGCTATGCTATCCTACATGCTATGCTATGCTACATGCTATGCTATGCTACATGCTATGCTATCCTACATGCTATGCTATGCTACATGCTATGTTATGCAACATACTATGCTATGCTACATGCTATGTTATGCAACATGCTATGCTATGCTACATGCTATGCTATGCTATGCATGTTACATGCTATGCTACATGTTACATGCTGTACGATGCTACGTGTTATGCTGGTTATGCCACATGCTATACTACATGCTACATGCTATACTATGCTACATGCTATGCTATGCTACATGCTATGCTATGCTACATGCTATACTATGCTACATGCTATGCTATGCTACATGCTATGCTATCCTACATGCTATGCTATGCTACATGCTATGTTATGCAACATGCTATGCTATGCTACATGCTATGCTATGCTACATGCTATGCTATGCTACATGTGAAATGCTATACTATGCTACATGCTATGCTATGCTATGCTACATGCTATGCTATGCTACATACTATGATATGCTACATGATATGTTATGCTACATGCTATGTTATGCTACGACCTACAACCTGCACCTGCACCGTACACCACGGTGTACCGGAAGTGGTTCACCGGAAGTGACGTCATAGATCACGTGGTAAGATGATGCACCGGAAGTGGAAGTGACATCATATGTCACATGGTTACTGATATAACTGGTCAAAGGTTACTGATTGAGTGATTTCCGCCACCACCACCACCGCCACCACCACCACCGCCACCACCGCCGCCGCCACCGCCGCCACCACCGCCGCCACCGCCGCCACCACCACCACCGCCGCCACCACCACCGCCACCACCACCACCACCGCCACCGCCGCCACCACCACCACCACCACCGCCACCACCACCACCGCCGCCACCACCACCACAGCTGCTGCCGCCACCGCCACCTATTTTAATATGAATATCACCTGCCATTAAAGGCACAACGGGTGGCTGCGGTGGCGGCGGTGGTGGTGGTGGTTGTGGCGGTGGTGGTGGTGGCGGAAATCACTCAATCAGTAACCTTTGACCAGTTATATCAGTAACCATGTGACATATGATGTCACTTCCACTTCCGGTGCATCATCTTACCACGTGATCTATGACGTCACTTCCGGTGAACCACTTCCGGTACACCGTGGTGTACGGTGCAGGTGCAGGTTGTAGGTCGTAGCATAACATAGCATGTAGCATAACATATCATGTAGCATATCATAGTATGTAGCATAGCATAGCATGTAGCATAGCATAGCATAGCATGTAGCATAGTATAGCATTTCACATGTAGCATAGCATAGCATGTAGCATAGCATAGCATGTAGCATAGCATAGCATGTTGCATAACATAGCATGTAGCATAGCATAGCATGTAGGATAGCATAGCATGTAGCATAGCATAGCATGTAGCATAGTATAGCATGTAGCATAGCATAGCATGTAGCATAGCATAGCATGTAGCATAGTATAGCATGTAGCATGTAGTATAGCATGTGGCATAACCAGCATAACACGTAGCATCGTACAGCATGTAACATGTAGCATAGCATGTAACATGCATAGCATAGCATAGCATGTAGCATAGCATAGCATGTTGCATAACATAGCATGTAGCATAGCATAGTATGTTGCATAACATAGCATGTAGCATAGCATAGCATGTAGGATAGCATAGCATGTAGCATAGCATAGCATGTAGCATAGTATAGCATGTAGCATAGCATAGCATGTAGCATAGCATAGCATGTAGCATAGTATAGCATGTAGCATGTAGTATAGCATGTGGCATAACCAGCATAACACGTAGCATCGTACAGCATGTAACATGTAGCATAGCATGTAACATAGCATGTAGAATAGCATAGCAGAATACCATTTAGCATAGCATGTTGCATAACATACAGTATAGCATGAAGCATAGCAATTAGCATTGTATGTCAATGTTTTCACTGAGCTGGGATTATCTTATAAGTTGACCCCTCTCTTAACAATTATCAGTAACCTTTGTCCAGTCATGTCAGTGACAGTGGAAGTGGAAGCCTGCACTTGCCTGTACCTCAATTGGTTAAAATAATCCAAAAATACTGTCCCCTTATTGGTTAAAATGATTCTGCATCTCGAAACCTGATTGGTTAAAACATACTGTACTGTGATTGGTTAAAAGAATCCAAACATTCTGTTCCTTATAAGGTAAAACGATTCTGCATCTCAAAACCTGATTGGTTAAAACATACTGTACTCTGATTGGTTAAAATAATTCTGCAAGTTAAAACGTGTTTGGTTGAAATGGTTCTGCAGTTATCTTTTTTACTGATTTATCAGTTTGTTATCCACCTTTGACCTATAACAATGAAACATCCATGAACTAGACAAGATAGCTTATCACATAGTCACCAGGTTACCTTAACAGTGTTTGTTTGATTATCTTTTCAATTGAGCTCTCTCTTATCAGTTATCAGTAACCTTTGACCAGTTATATCAGTAACCATGTGACCTATGGCATCATTTCTGTGCATTGGGCATAGAACTCAAACCTATGTTCTTTTATCAATTATCAGTAACCTTTGTCCAGTTATATCAGAAACCATGGTAGTTATCTTTTTCACTGTCTTATCAGTTTATTATCTCTCTCTTATCAATTACAGTAGCCTTTGACCAGTTATATCAGTAACCATGTGACCTATGACATCAACACGTAGAAAAAGAAGATGGGTTTGGTCTCTGTATCATTATCTGCTTTCACTTGTTACAAGGACGAGGCATCTGTTCATCAATGGCTGCTGCTTGTACAACAAGTGACTGCCAGGCACTCTCTGGAATGTTGATGGATCTTTTCAAGTTCTTCTCGCCTTCTTTATTGATCACTTCCAGACTTATGTATACATTATCCATGAAATAAGACAATCCGAGCAATACATTGTCAGTAAGAAGTTTCTTTTCATTGTAATTTTCTTGAGCTAACCAGAACTGCACTTGAACAAATTCCATTTTCAAACTCTGCCACAGCAGTGAACTAACATAAGTTCTAGCTTCATATGTCTGCTGAGTTTCTTGATTTCTTCTTGGTCTTGTAATTTCACCAAATACACCCCCTTTCTTTCTGATGTTGAACTTATTACCTAATCAGTTATCAGAAACCCTTGATCTTGCACCAATTATCAGTAACCTTTGACCAGTGATATAAAGTGGCATGATGGTTCTACAGCTTATGCAACATATGAAGTATGTGTGAAATATAATTGGTCAAATTGGTATATTGCAGCCATGTGATTGGTTGAAATTGTTGTGCAGTTATCTTTTTCACTGTTTTATCAGTTTGTTATCAACCTTTGACCTAGAACAATAAACACCAGTGAAATAGACGGATAGCTTATCACATAGTTACTAGGTTACCTTAACAGTATTTGTTTGATTATCTTATCAGTTAACTCCTCTTTTATCAATTATCAGTAACCTTTGACCAGTTTGTTTGATTATCTTATCAGTTAACTCCTCTCTTATCAGTTATCAGTAACCTTTGACCAGTTTGTTTGATTATCTTATCAGTTAACTCCTCTCTTATCAATTATCAGTAACCTTTGACCAGTTTGTTTGATTATCTTATCAATTGAGCTATCTCTTATCTGTTATCAGAAACCTTTGACCAGTTATATAAAGTGGCATGATGGTTCTACAGCTTATGCAACATATGAAGTATGTGTGAAATATAATTGGTCAAATTGGTATATTGCAGCCATGTGATTGGTTGAAATTGTTGTGCAGTTATCTTTTTCACTGTTTTATCAGTTTGTTATCAACCTTTGACCTATAACAATAAACACCAGTGAAATAGACGGATAGCTTATCACATAGTTACTAGGTTACCTTAACAGTATTTGTTTGGTTATCTTATCAGTTAACTCCTCTCTTATCAATTATCAGTAACCTTTGACCAGTTTGTTTGATTATCTTATCAGTTAACTCCTCTCTTATCAATTATCAGTAACCTTTGACCAGTTTGTTTGATTATCTTATCAGTTAACTCCTCTCTTATCAATTATCAGTAACCTTTGACCAGTTTGTTTGATTATCTTATCAATTGAGCTATCTCTTATCTGTTATCAGTAACCTTTGACCAGTTATATCACTGCCAGTACACCATGTAAACACGTGACCTATGACGTCACTTCCTGTGGAAGTGGAACACGTGAGCTATGACGTCACTTCCGGTGGAAGTGGAACGTGGAAGTGGAACAGTGCCGGTGCCGGTTGTAGGTCGAAAGTTGCAGCCTATACTACTGGTATATTATATATCAAATTGAATTTAATAAGGGCAAAACAGTTGATAATTTAGCAGTTATCAACTAAAAGTAGGGCTTCTCGATCCCCTATATTTTACCTGGCATTTGCTGTTTTTCTACTTTTTTTTACATAATCCTTTCATGAAAACATCAAAAAACTGTTTTCAGGACAAAATAAGCCTTTACAAATAATTTAGTTGTGCTATTGAGTTCAAATATGACATATCTTGCAAAGTAATTAAACAAAAGTAAGGTCACCCCAAAAGTGGGTGTGGTAAAATATTGAAATTTCAAATATTATTTTCACCCTCAATATTCACTTAATGACCCTGATACTTATCAAAGACAATGTTCAGGTGTACAATTACCTCCTTGATTTTTTTCCTGATACAGAAATAAATACATTGTTATATTAAATTCAGGCTATTTGATGGCCTATTTTCAGATATTTGGCGCTAGAAATGCCAATTATTGCACGCAAATAGTTGGTTAACAATTTTTAGTTGCTCTTATGTCAGTAAACTATCATAATATTACTCGTTTAGTTGACAAGAGCATTCCAATTTGAAATAAAAAATATATTTACAATCCCATACTCAAATTTGGAGGGGGGTGCCTAGAATGTGACATTTCATATTTGTCCACTGCATATATTTTTCTACATTTTTGATATGTTTGTCAAATGGTATCAATATACAATATAAGCCTATTAAACTGTTGCAATTTTTGGGATGTTAAACCTCCATTTGCCTAGCCTACTTCAAGGATTTGTTGAGTGGTCTTTCTATTCGTGAGATATTGAGTACCTTATTTGTTATGAAGCTTTGATTCATATTGCGCGCTATTTTCGGACCAGTCTTACGTAACGCTGGTGGAATCAGGATATTTGATAATTACAGTCTGTCGGCCCACGTTATAAACCCATTGTTGTTTACCGGTTTTTAAAAAAAAGTGCGTAGTAATAATTTCGGCATTTTCGAACTACTTGTTTACGCCCGATTGGGCATGGTTTTTAACGCGTTGTTAAGCAATCAAGATGTTATTTTTAAAAAACAAAAATATTATGCCTATTGTAATTAGGATCTCTTCTTTCTAATGGTGTATTTTTCAACTATCCAAGATCACGGGAAATGGGTATAAAATGCGTTTGAAAAGAGGCTATTTTTAACATTTTTGAACTTCGTCTTTGTCTGATTAATTCATTGAATAATTTATTTTTATAATTTTTTTCAGATCGTACAAAAGTTGGATAATGTATCGAAAATCATGCTCATGAAAAAAATATTTAGACTCAGTCGAAATCCAACGATCGTTACAGTTTTTACGAAACCTCGATCTTAAAACGGCTCATTTTTTACACAAATAACGTGTTTGACGACACAAACCACGGGTCTAGCTGGAGTTTTCTCTCTAAAGTTTGGACATTACGCTCACTAAATAAATGTAGTCATATAAAAAACATATATCAACCATTATTCACGGAATGTATTTAATATCATGTATATGAAATATCGTTCTGATCCAATAACGACAAAGTATCCATTTTTCAGTTTAGGAATACGAAAACTGCTAAAACGGGGCTGATTTTCGGACTAAAATAAAATGTGACGTACTTACTTTTTAAATCATGCATTTTTGTCATTGAAATCTGGAATTAAATTTAAGGATCAAGACTACAATGAAAAAATAATTAAGACGGCCATAGCGTGAGCAATATATCGAATTTTAGACACACAAAAAACCAGGATGATTCTATTAAACATGGGAAATTGTTACAGTTTTAACTAGAATGAGAACTCTAAAAATGGCGTCATTTTTGCGCAAAATCCAAGTTGACGACACAAATAGTTCATGGACGTATTACTGTTGACATCACGCTTGGACGTTAAATTCGCCCATTGAAATTCTAAACAAAAAGATCGAGTTGACACTAATCTCGTACAGCCTTAAAAATCAATCAACTAATAAGACACTTTTAGCATAACGTTCTAAAGTTTAAAGATATGATCACTTTTGAACAATTTACAATGTTCTAACGACGGATTGTTTTCATTTCTTAAAGACGATTGTTCGAAATTCAAATTCAAGATGACCATTTTGTGAAGAAAGTGTATATTCATCCGATTACACTACACATGTTCCAAATAAAAGGTAAAAGTAAAATCATCGTGATTGAATGAAGTAAATGGATTTGGTACTATTGGCACTATGGGCGCATTTAAAACCGCGCCATAATTTTACCCACAATATTTCAGTTGATCTGTTTCAGTTGATCGCGTCCAATCAGAATGATGATTATTATATTCAGTATTGTTTGATAGCAAATAGAGTTTATGTTTTCTTCAATAAAAAAATATTTTTATCTATGATATGAACCATGCCACCTAACATGTCTAATTTGGACATTAATCTCAATGACACGTAACTCGATTTTGACCGATCAATGTGTATATAAACACACAAAGGAACCATCGTCTCACTATGAATACAAGCTGACAAGAACGTTTTATAAAATAATTATACTAGCCTAATTTGGAAAATGATATTTTAAAGAGCCAAAATTGTCTCTTGAAGGGAAAATATGAAAGCAAGAATATTATTATATTAATATTTTAATGTTTCAGTCGATCCCATATCATCTATCAAATTAAAAAAGACTTAACATATGAAAAAAAGTTTTTACAGAATTTGCTGCTTTTTGATACATATACAAATAGGCATTTCCAATAATAAATTTCTTGAGCAACAATGAGAGTTTGGTTGGACCTGAAGCTACCATTACATCAGTGTAAACGCTTAAGTATTTAAAGTAATATTGTCCCAGTTTACTTTGATATAAATCGGCATCAAATGTTAAGTTGTACATCATAAAGCCAAAACAAGGTTGTCATGTAGGTGTTTGGGACGATACTCCAGTATTCAAGTGACATTAAGATAACTGGCTAGGCTGTCATTTTCATTTTTGATGTACTTGTCATCCCTTTTGTTTTCATTTCTGAACTCAATGAGGAATAAAGTCACTCTTCCATTATGGAACCACAATATGTAACATAAGCATTTATATACATTTATATTCATTTATTATTTTGGTATATATACTGATACAATATATGGTGCAGATACAATATAAAATATGTTACAGCCATATAACACATCAATGCTTTAAAGCATACACAAGTAAACAATTTATGACAGTGCAATAGAAAACACCTCATGCTTACTAGAAGTGTATAATGATAATAATTAGAACTCCAAATTAATTCTTATTTGGCTTCTGGAGCAAATTGAGTTCTGTATTCTAATATTATATTCTAACATTATCTTGTATATCACCCCAAAATATGCCTAAGATCTATTTACCAACTATAGGTTTTAAACTGTCCATAAGTATACTATATTCCATTTTGATCATACATCTGAATTCCTGATCTTTCTCAAGTGTAGAAAGAGATGAAATTGATATAGGGTGACATCATACAACAGCACTTAATAGTACAAGGCCAGGCAAACAGTATGGCTGAGATGCACAGAGACCCATTTATAGGTTGATACCAAACAATGGTATTTAATAGCATAAGGCCAGTTGAACTGTAAAGTTGAGATGCACAGAGACCCGTTTATACCGTGACATCATACAGTGGTATTTAATAGCACAAGGCCAGTGGATGAGGTGAACTGTAAAGTTGAGATACACAGAGACCCGTTTATAGGGTGACATCATGCAATAGAATCTAATAGTACAAGGCCAGTTGAACTGTAAAGTTGAGATGCACAGAGACCCGTTTATAGGGTGACATCATACAATGGTATTCAATAGCCCAAGGCCAGTTGATG